AGCTAGAGGCGTCTACCGGAAAAAGCAGTGCTGTAACGACGAAGATCTGCGGGGGGCTGTGCAAAAAACGCATCTTCGCATCGGTAGTCGAAAACAACCCTTGTTTAAATTACTTTAATTACTTTAAATAAGGGTTGTTTCTGACTGCCGATGCGAAGATGGCCACTTATTTTCAAATTCTATGTTGAAAGATGCACACCTTTCATTACACACAGACGATTATTCTGACTTATTCGAATTTTGATTTGATTTTGCCAGTGGAGCAACTAATCCTTCTATGATTCGCTCATTCGTTCTGAAAGTAATGAAGATAGTAGTAATGATACATAAAAAATACAAGAAAATTAATCAGCAGAACAGAGATATTCCATTCTATCAAGGCGTCAATCCCGCTATCAGTTCTCTTCTAAACAAACATCAGAAGAAAGCAACAGGCTTTGCCAGCGGATGACTGCTGCTGGTGATATATTCCACTTTAACCACTCCTGGTTCTTACAAAGCGAGCAAAATAGGCAGCTTTGACTTTTGGCACATAAATTACAAAATAGCGCTTCGAACTCAAACCCTTTTTATAAATTAATTGTGGATTCTTTGCAGTTATTGAACGAGGCGTTGCAACTGCATTTTTCCAAGTATACGAATATAAGTACCACTCGAAAAAAGCAATACTTGTCATCTGGTCTATTTGGGTTAGTTGTACTAATGCAATGGCATTTTAACTTCTGCGAAACTAGAATTGGAATTCAGATTTCAACATAAATTTCATCTTTTAGTAACTGTAGTAGCGAGTAGCGCTGCGCACATTGCTCATGGCGATGTACATCGCTTACTGGTAAGAGGTACTCTCAAGAAAGTAAACTACCATTCGGTTGCTCCCGAACACGTAGCACACATACATCGAACAGTGGTGGTTACTAACTGGAAGTTTGCAGCTCAAGATCAAAAGGCTCTCATATTTGGGCTCGAAGCGTGAAAACATCCCAGTAACACCACTAACGTGGGATTTCGGCACGCACTATCTAGGTTGTCTTAATATTCTTAATAGCAGCGAAAGCAAGAACAACTTAAGAATAACTCTTTTTAAAATGAATATCACAAGACGGTATGCAGTTTCATTAATATTGTCACTTACGAACTTGTTTTCGTATATTAAAATTGTTTTCACTGATAACGAAACATATAGCTTATGGGGGATGTGTGAAGCAATTCGTTTACATTGTTCAGTAACAATTTTCCAACATCTGCATCAGTGGCTGTAACGACAGAGTAATTTTCAGGGAATGTATACATTGTT